CTCTAGGGACGCCCCTGTCGGCCCCACCACAGCTGCTCACAGTGCTGATGGCTCCGCTCCTGTGGCTGCGACTGAGGCCCTGAGCAAACAGCTTCCCCTCCCCGGAGGCGAGAGACAGGGGGCCCTGTGAGCGCCCCCCCCCACCCCCTTGCAGGGACCATCCAGGAGGCGCCGTTGGGAGCCTTTTGTTTTCTCTTTATTGTTTTAAATGCTTTTAGAAACGCTCAGCAACATACATGGTTGCAGAAATGAGGAGCTCTGGGAGCCCAGGGCAAGTACGGCCCCTATCCCGGCACCCAGAGCCGCGTGCTGACAGTGGAGTGTGCTCCCTCTTGGGTCACCAAGTCCTGGTGCCAGGCACGCCCCTGCTCCTGCCCAGGGACCATCCTGGCCTGGAGGCCTGGGGTCATGGATCAGGTCTTGTCCCCGAAAGGCTCCTCGCAGCTCTGTGTCCTGGCCCTGTGTGCAGATCAGGGCATGTCCCACCCCCCACTTCATCTTCTCGGCTCTCTCCCAGCCTCTCTCTCACCCCAGCACCCCTCACCCCTCACCCCTCACCCTTCAGCACAGCTGCCGTCTTAGCAAGACCTCTGACCGCCTTCATTTAGGCTGCAATCCCCGAGGTGCCCCTTCAGGGCCTCGCATGTCCCGGTCCGTGTGACCAGCGCCCATCCCAGGCCCCTAGATGCTCTCTAATGGGTAGGAGCCTGGCTTCTCCACACCGTCCTCTGTCCCTGGACCCTGGTTACCAACAGCGACTTCAAGCACAACACTCCCCGAATCCTCTCCTGGCTTGTGAGAGAGGCGAGAGGAACCCCCGCACCAGTCGGGAAGGTCTTCAGCGACCCAGTCTCCGAGCATCCGGGCTCTTCACCTCAGTCCCCACCTTGGCTCCAGTCTGGGCTGTGGGGACTCAGATCTACCCTCAGCCTCAGTTTCCTCATCCATGCAATGGGCCTCACCGTAGTACCTCGCTCACAGGGCCCTTAGGGCATTATTCCAGGAGACGGAGGTTTGCAAAGGTCCCCGCACAGCATTACCCGGGGAGGTAAGAGCTGCAGCTGGTAGTGGCGATCCCTCTCTCTGGCTTCCCTTTGTGCCGGGCCCCTCCTCAGAGGAGTGTAGGGCACCGCAGGGCATAATCCTGCAGATCCTGCTAGTGACGATTCTTTATGCCAAGTGTGCTACACGCACCATCTCGATCCCAACAACATGGGTGTGACGACCGTCCCCTTTATGGATGAGGAGACCGAGGCTCAGAGAGGTGAGGGCACTTGCCCGAGGTTGCACAGCAACGTATGGCAGAGCCGGGATTTGGGCTGCAAAGCCACGCTGCCGTCAGCCGGGTGTCTGGAGGGTTCTGTGCTGGGCACTGGGATACACGGTGGACAAGTCCACTTGGAACAAACCAGGTTCCCTCCAAGCTCACACTGCTGCTCCGTGTCTGTTACACGGTCCTTGGGAACAGACGGGGAGAAGGGTGTGTGTGTATTGGGGTGCAGGCATGTGGGAGGAGCCAGCTGCCGGCTCCATATGGTGGCTCTGCCCACTAACTCTGCCAGCACCCGGGGAGGAGGGGCTCCGTGGAGAAAGTGGGGAAGAGGGGGCAGAACTGCTTTGGGCAGGAGTGTGGCTTTGGGGTGTTGTTGGTGGGTTTTGTTTCAGCCGCCCTGCGGGGAGCAGGGCTGAGTGGCCAGCTGCTCCGTGTACACTGTCTGGGTGACTTCTCATGCGACTCTTAGCCCTTGTACAAACGAGGCTCAGAGAGGTACAGCCACCTGCCTCAGGTCACACAGCTCGCGAGAGGCAGAGTGGGAGAGCCCGTGCCTGTGACGTCGGGCCTGTGCCCGTGGGTTTTGTTTCAGCCCCCCTGCGGGGTGCAGGGCTGAGTGGCCAGCTGCTCCGTGTACACTGTCTGGGTGACTTCTCATGCGACTCTTAGCCCTTGTACAAACGAGGCTCAGAGAGGTACAGCCACCTGCCTCAGGTCACACAGCTCGCGAGAGGCAGAGTGGGAGAGCCCGTGCCTGTGACGTCGGGCCTGTGCCCAGGACCCCCGTGTGTGGGTCTCTGGACAGGGACCCCCAGCCTTGAGGGCAGGCGCTCCTGGCAGGTGGCGATGTTGGTGTCCTTGACCCTCCCTCGCTGGGCTGTCCCTCAGGTACAAGGGCTTCATCAAGGACTGCCCCAGCGGGCAGCTGGACTCAGCGGGCTTCCAGAAGATCTACAAGCAGTTCTTCCCGTTCGGAGACCCCACCAAGTTCGCCACGTTCGTTTTCAACGTCTTTGATGAAAACAAGGTGAGCTGGGACGGCGGGGCCTGCGCCGGCGGCGTTCCCTCCCCCACAGCAGCTGCTCAGCTCCGGGGTTCCCGCAGCGGCTCCACACCCACTCTCTCCCCCAGTGTTCCCTCCGGGAGAAGGAACAACACGTGTGCACACTCAAAAGCATACATATACAGATACACACGAGCGCATGCACACCCACACATGCATACACACAGATGCAGGCATTCATTGTGCACACGCACACACAAGCACACACAGGCACCACACAGAGATAGTGCGTGTGCATACCTATACCATGTGCACACACATGTGTACATGCATGCATGCACATGTATACCTCGATCTTTTTCTTACCAGCACCAAATGCCAATGCCTCCAGGGACAGTAACAGGCGTTATAGCTGGCACAGATGTTCACTGGACATGTCACAGCCCTTCATGTGAAAGCTTACAACCCACGGGTGTGTCATTTTTTCCCCCCAAAGGTTTTTGTTTTGTTTTTTGTTTTTGTTTTGTTTTGTTTTTAGAATATATTTTTATTGATTTCAGAGAGGAAGGAAGAGGGAGAGAGGGATAGAAACATCACTGATGAGAGAGAATCATTGATCGGCTGCCTCCTGCAAGTCCCACCCTGGGGATCAAGCCTGCAACCTGGGCATGTGCCCTGACCAGGATCGAACCTGTGACCTTCTGGTTCATAGGTCGACGCTCAACCACTGAGCCACGCAGGCGGGGCGGGCGTGTCATGTAAATACTCCATTTGCAGATGAGGAAACAGGTCTGAGAATCAGACAGTGTGGAGTCTTTCGGGCCTGGCGCCTTTCACTGAGCACCATGGTTTCATGGCTTATCTGAGTTGTCGCGCGTCCCCTCCTGGCGGTGGGCGTCCGAGGTCCTCCGGACTCCGTCCCACGCCAGCACTCCTCTGGCTCCCGGTGCTCACGGTGGATCTACTGTGACTTGTCCCCACGCTCCCGCTCTTGGGCGCTCGGGCTGTTTCTGTTCCGTGAGGCCCTGGCTTCTGCCCCAGGTGACTCCAAGCTGACAGTCACACTGCTTGGCCCTGGGGAGAGCTCTGGGCCTCAGTTTCCTCATTTGCAAAACAAATAGGTAGGATTGCACAGTTTGGAGCCGGAGCCTGTGGGTCTAGGCCCCGGGGGAGGGGACCTCCAGGCGGCTCTCGCCCAGAGGTGGTGCCTGTGTTGTGGCCTCACCCCTTCCTCCCGCCCCTCCCGCCCGACCTGTCCCATTTCTAATCCGACCCCCTCCCTTCTCCTTCCTCCCCCTTCCTGGCTCTGTCCCTCATCCTTCACTCCCGCCCTCTCCGTGTGGCGTCTGTCTGCCACGCTCTCCGGTGCCCGCTGCCGCCCCCATCACCTGCCCAAGGTCTGGCCTGACCAGGTGGCCCGACTGACCGAGGCCACCTGCCCCTCTCTCCTGCCAGGATGGACGGATCGAGTTCTCTGAGTTCATCCAGGCGCTGTCGGTGACCTCGAGGGGGACCCTGGACGAGAAGCTGCGGTGTAAGTCCATCCCTCGGGCTCCACTGGGCAGCCGCTGGGCGGGCCCCGGCCGGGGGAGGCCAGAGACGGGGCCAGGCCCTCTGTCCCAGCTGAGAGAGTGGCCCAGACCTTCTGTCGCTTCAGGTCCGAGGAGGGCTCCCGGAGGTGGCTGTGCGGGAGGAACATGGCTTAGGCGGGTGGACAGATGGGGCAGGAGCTGAGGGGACATTCAGGCGGGTGCAGACATGGGACGCGGCCACTGCAGCCTGGAGTTAAAGACCCACTTCAAGTGCCGGACCCACCGTGTAGGAGGCCGCTGTTCTGATGACTGACCCCATTCATTCACGTATTTACTCGTTCACCCAACGGATATTGACCAATCAGGGCCACGTGTCCATGCCGGGCAGGAGGCCAGGAACCCGGGAGGGGGGCGGGGAGGGTCAGATACACGGGCACCTGCTCTCACGGCTCCGTCTAGCATGAGACGTGATTTTTAAAAATCCCATAAAACCGAGACAGGAAGCGGGAGGTGAGAGCTGGCAGGAGGGGAACTGACCCTGTGGTGAGTCAGAGCCGAGCTGGGCGGGGAGGGAGCCGGCTGGTGGGAAGCTGGAGGAGGGCTCCAGGCAGGGGATGCCGAGGAGCGGGGACGAGAGGATGCAGAGGGCAGAGGTGCGGGCCCAGGCTGGCGCGGGGTGACGGAAGAAGATGGAAACAGCCGGCTGGAGCTCACTGCTCCCTAAGACGTTCGCATTGCGTTGTCTCAGCAGCGAGAAAACCCTGCAGTTTCTTTCTCTGGTTTTTTTTTTTTTATGGATAAAAGGGGATTGCCTGGCCGGTAGTTCAGTGGTCAGAGTGCTCACCAAAGGGTTGCGGGTTCCATTCCCGGTCAAGGGCATGCACCTGGGTTGCAGGTTCTAAGCCGAGGGGAGCATCTCT